CCATGAGCCTTCTGGACTTGCTGCAGCTTATGCCCAGCCGAATATGGCTGGCTTTGAGCCGGATTGCTGCCTGAGCATAGCTTAGTTTCATATTACTCATGCTTGGTGATGCTCATTTGCATGTTACCCAACCGGTGACCATTTGTGCCGCTTGTGAGTGAAGTAGTGCCGGTTGGATTGTGGCTGCTCTAATGATAGCCGCTTGACCCCTGCTGTTATGGTCGTGGACATATAGGGGGTTTTGAGAGTCGAGGACATTGGTGACGAAGCACCGGCTGGATGGGCATACGGGTGATGCAAACGTAGAAGCGCTTGACTAGAGCCATGCTTTGGTTTTATCTGGCTGGGTGATGGGTGCAAACCACCGCTTGTCTCTTGTTGTTTGAAGCTATCGAGTGTCGTCTAGCCCCTACAAACACCCTGCTTATTTCACTCGGCATTAGTGCCGGTTGGGTGGTTTGAGCACAGAGCATCTGAGCAGCTCTAGCATTCACCGTCGGCTTAGCTTGCATGCACCTTTGTCGTGTGTGATAATGTCGTTTGCCTATGAGAGGTGCTTGTTGGCTGCTTGGCTGTGTGCGTGAGTTGCTTGGCCGAAAGTAAGCAGCCATGCTCACACAGGCAGCTCGCTAGAACATTGAGCTGCATACACAACGCAACAATCTAAAGAATGCATGGTAGCCATGCACTACTCATGAAATGAGTATAAAAATATACATGAGGGCTCCACCATTGTATAATTATATACATAGTGGGAGTTTGGCAGCCGGACCCTTGTAAATTTTTTATTTTTTTTTTTATTATATATATATATATATTTTTTTTTTTTTTTGATAATCATAATAATGATTAATCAATAATCATAATAATGATATGATTACATGTATTGCTAACAAGCTTGTCGCTGACCCTTGACAGTTGGTCATATGACGCTTATAACACTTGACACTCGGCCGTATGACGCCTCCTGAGTCAGGAGGGTTTTGTATGACGCCTCCTGTACTAGACAGTCGGCCTCACGACGCCTGAGAGACTTGACCGCCTGTATGATAGGCTTACACCAGAGCCTGAGGACGACTGAATTTAGCAGCCCCTGCTCACACGCACCGCCGCTCATCGAGGCCGCCTGTATATAGCCTGCTGTGTCAACACGCCGGCTGATTGAGAGGCTGTCTGGGGCATGAAAAGGTGTCGGCTGCATGCATGGCTGTCCACACGGCATGTATGGCTTGCTGAAGCACATTGTACCGAATGAATTCTGAGGGCTAGAAGGGACGGGCAGGCCGCCTGACTAACCCCCTCGGTTTGATTGTGAATGCCTCATTTGAGACATTCTAGAAGCGGTCTGGGTAGGGCGGCTTTTAAGCCGGCTCAGACATTTAGGACAGGAAGGAGGCACTCGGTTTTTGAACTCAACCGTAGGCCGCCTCCTGTCAAGAGGTGGTACAGACTTGTGAAGTCATCTCAGTGGTACTCTCCCCACAGACGGCGCCAAATGTTTCGGGGTTTTTTGAGATGTCCTGCGGTACAACACCGAGACTGACCTCCAGCTGCCTGTACCTGCAAAACAACGGAGACTCCCAAGGATGGGAGTTCCGCCTCCGACGATTAAGTTAGAACATGTTTGAAGAGTATAGTGCGGAAAGTAATAACCCCTCCTGAGTCAGGAGGGTTCTGCAATGAAGATTGCTCAGTTACCCCTCCTGACTCAAGGTTCTGCAATGAAGATTGCTCAGTTTTTGGGTTGATTGAATGTGTATTCAATGTATGTTGTGTTAGTTGTCTTATAAATGAGGATGGTTCCTCTATTTATAGAGAGGGAGATCAATCACCTTCTAGGGTTTGGTGACACGTGTCAGCAGGCTATTGGGACACATGTTGCGTTAACAGTGGTCCGTTTGTTAGGGGTATTTTACCCCCAAACATTACCCTTATTACTTAAGTACCTAGGCCTAATAATTACTTAAATACCTAAGCCTTATTGATTAAGTACCTAAGCCTAGGCATTTTAATTTTAATGAAAGCCAAAAATCATTCACTATTTAATAGTTTCATACTTATTAGTACATAGGCATAACAATTACACAAGCACAATTTGAAGTTACCCTTAAGAATTTGTGCAAATGATGAGAAAACTTACCAATTGATGCAAAAAATAAGTAGCCACTAAACCACAACAAATCACGAAATCATACAACCAAACCAAAAACACGGAGAACTATCGCGCGAGAGGATGACTAGTTATGTGAAAAGAAGCTAAGCCTTGACTGTTCCTATTCCTCATCAAGCATCAAGGATGGTGAAGAAAATGTAGGGTACTAAAGATATGCTAGTTCAGACTACAAATCGGGATGATAACTTAAGAAAGGGAAATTTTTTCAATACATTAAAGGTGATTATGAGAAAGTGGGATGGAGAAGAGTAATATGTAATTATGTAATAAGCCCTAGGAGTTGCATTATTTAGATGTGTATTTTGAACAGATTACTACCGAAAATAGCCAGAGGAAATGAGGTCGGGGATCGAGTGTGATGCTACATGTTGCTTGTCTTCTAACACGCCATGGATAAATGTGTAGAGCATATGTTCTTCAACTTCAGTTTTGCTACCACGGTTTGGTTCAGAGTAGTGCAATAGGCATATATAAATATAGCATGCTTCAAAGTGTTAATGAGGAATTGCAGATAGCTATTAGAAAGGCTATAATGACAACGTATACAACACGGTTTTTGTAGAATTTATGTGTAATCTATGGTTCAAAGAAATGCAAAGATTTGTAGCAGTTAGTACAAAACACTAATTCACTCTACTGATATGGTATAATAAATATGACAAAGTATACTCTGTACATTAATAACTTGGACTATCTTCTTTAGTTGTTTATACATACAGAACAGCGTTTTAGTGCTTGCCTGTCTTATTATCTCAGTACTTGCCCGTCTTATTGTCTCATTTTAAGCTACGCAACCCTTAAGCTTGGAGTTTTCATTCCAATCTCTTAGTAGGGTACGAGAGCTCAACATTGAATGATTAGTGTAGAAGCACAAAAATTATTGAATGATGTGTTCTGTATCAAGCTTTTATACTTGAATCCCCCCTTATATGAACGACAGGGTCACAAGCTTATTGGAGTGGTTTAAAAAGGCACCAGAGGTGTTTTCCATGTATGGTCAGCAAGTATAAATCCATACATATTGAAATGGTTTGGGAAATTCTTGAATTGGGCTCAACCCAGGACTCAGTAGTAAAAGATGGTAAGAACCTCAGTTGCACGAACATGTATGCAATAACTACCAAATTCAATTGGGATTTTAGTAGCCCTTGCTTCGGACCCTGGGCTGCAGGCACTGCTGATGCTACTGGTCTTCAGATTCCGCTGCTGCTGCCTTTCTTCATAGTAGCCATCAAGAATGCAGATTGGGGTATAAAACCATAGCTCAATATCCGGACAAAATGTAACATTAAAAAAGATTGAGCAGCAAAGTCATACAATACAGTGTACAAAACCACATAGCTCTTTGTCCACCAGTCTGGACAGAAGATGTTCCAGAACAACGATTGAGAAGCCAAGCATAGTAGCATACCAAAATGAATGTATGAGGCTGGTTTAATCAACATTTGAGCAGCTTTATGCTTTTCCCATAATATTCCACTCAAGCCTCAAGTTATGGCAAGAAAAGTAGACCAAACACAAATCTTGCAAGTGTAAAGAATGACCATTTATTGTGACCATGTACTTTCATTAAACAAAAACATCACTTCCTTTCCAAATATCAGAATCGCACAACTGAGGCAGCACCCACACAGCCACACTAGTAATGTGAATACACTCATCAGCATTACAAGGATATATGGAGTACAAAATTTTAAGGATTACAAAGCGAAATAAGTTGGCAATCCAGGAATAGACAGCTACCATACGATACAATACCCTGAAACTTCATCACAACATCAAGTAAACCAATATAGCTGTGCATTACAATTTGCAACTAAGTAAACCCACATCACCAGAAATTTCAAGTTATAAAGAAAATGGATGCATAAAGTGCCTGCATAGCAAAGAGTTTTGAGGCTCCTGCTCGCAAAAGACGCAAATTGCTCTACCCACAGCCACTTTCCGTCCTAATAACCACTCCCAGACTAGCCCGGCAGCTATTTGCATTCCCTTAATATGGAAAAGCCTACATACACGCCTTTGGTCTGAACCAGAGGCCCTTTTCCCCTTTCAATGAGCACCATATTATCGACATGAATGCTGATCGTGGCTGCTAAAAATCTTTTACAGCTTCTGCAGATGACTATTTTTCTGCGAAATTTGTAAGCAGCAGGGGCTTTTCTGTACCATGCATCAGTAGTCGTTGAAGCACTATACATCATCAAATTTCAACAAGATAACCTTTCTCACTTAGGCTATCATCTCCTACAGAATCTTAATTGAACCAATGCAAGCAAATCCTCAAAATAGGCCAAAAACTTCCTCAAGTATGTGCACATTAATTCATCCTCAACAAAATTATCACCTAAACTTCCAAGCCCAAATTGGCTCGACAATAAACAAGTCACACCCAAATCATAGAAATATGGGTTAATTTGGATCTTAACCAATAATGCTTGCAATCATCATCGAAGAAATAACAATACATTCAACACAAATTCATCAACTGAAAAACCAAAACAACATTTTCACCAATATCACAATCTCCAAATAGTACAAGGCAGAAACATCAAAAACAGCAATAGTCCATATCCCACATATATAATCGCAATAAAATGTACCATTGGAGAACCAAATTGAGTATCAATAACAAAAATGCATCATCCTTAGCTATTTCAATAATCTCTTAAATCAACATTGCAAATTATAGATTAGAAGACCATAATCAGATTAATCACTAACCCTTTTAGCCAATTTTAGCATTGTATAATCAACAATTAATCCGAGCTTAATATTCCCAATCATAGCAAAGATACACAAAAGAAAAATATAAAAATTGCAAAACTAAAATTCAAATTCAGAGGAAATCACTTTCATTCATTTCTCCATCAAAATGAAAACACAACATCAGAAATTTACATAACATCCAATACTTTTTATCAATTAAACTAAAACATAAACCCTAACCACCAAAACCGTAGAGAGTACGGCCCTGCCTCTTAAGAGCATAAACAACATCCATGGCAGTAACAGTCTTCCTCCTCGCATGCTCAGTGTAAGTAACAGCATCACGAATCACGTTCTCTAGAAAGATCTTAAGAACACCACGAGTCTCTTCATAAATAAGACCACTAATACGCTTCACACCACCTCTTCGAGCCAAACGACGAATGGCAGGCTTAGTGATACCCTGAATGTTATCACGTAGCACCTTCCTGTGACGCTTTGCGCCGCCCTTTCCAAGACCTTTGCCTCCCTTTCCTCGGCCTGACATTGTTAAGTTTGAAGATGAAGATTTGGTTACTGAAGAATGAGGGTTTCAGAGGAGAGAGAAAATGGTGGGAATTAATTTGATGGTGGTGAATTGAGGGAATGTGGTGGGGTTTTTATAAGGACGGAGGAAAATGGGGGGAATTTTTGTGGGTGGTTGATTTGAGTTTTGATCTGACGGGTAGAAATGGTGATCCGTGTGTGTTGGGGTAGTGAGGGTTTGACCGTTGATTGTTTTAATCGATGGTTGGGAGTAGATGATGTTTTGTGTTTTGGATTGAAGTTTCTCTTTCAAATTTTTCGTGTTAGCGCTGGTATTTCAATACGGAGTACTCCGTAGTCCGTAGTCCGTAGTCCGTAGTCCGTACTAATCTATCTATACTACTAATATATACTCCAACTATACGACTATATTACTCTAATACTCAAATTCTATGCATTTCATGGTTTTGCAATTAAAAAAAGAAAACCAATAACTACGCATCACACTATTTTTCCTTTTTTTTAATTTATTTATTTTAAGGGACTAATAACTACCAACCTTTCACTTTAAATCATGTTTTCTTTCGTGAATAATATGTCCCGTGCATTAGCACGGGTACGCTCTATTATTTAATGACAGGAAAATTAACATGCCAAATGTCCTGTTTCTGAATATTATTTTAATTTTATTTTAGAAAATGCCCATTCAATTTCACTGAAGCGTTTCTTTAGCTTTTTCATTTTTGTCATCCATTTCTTTCCTTTTATGTTCATTTCTTTTTTTTTCTTTTCCATCATTTCATCTCCTTTAGTTTTTACCAACAATCCTAATAATGGTATTCATCTTAATTTCACAACATTCCTAGTATGCGTTTCATCTCTTCAATAAAAAAAATCAGTTTTTTTTTTCCTAAGCTTTTTTTCCCTCAACAAGCATTAGTTTTCTATTAATATTTCTCTTTTCTTCTTCCCCACCAATTCAATGTCTCTTCCCCATAATTGAATGCAAGCATATTCTGAATTTTACTTCTCTCTCTTTTTTTTGGTGTATGTGAAATATAAATAAACCGTTGGAGTTGAATTCTAATTTCTAATTTTGCAAGTATATTCTTTGAAATTTACTATTATTTTGCTATGAATTACTGATCTTAATTCAGATGTCAATTTCACAAACAAAGTAGTGGTCAATTTTTTGAAATAATGACCAAATTTTTTTAACTATAAAGTTATACTCCGTATTACCATTACAAAGCCAATATTGGGGAAGATTTATTTTTTACAACAATTTTACATAAAGAAAGATTTATTGATTATAGGCTTTTAACTTTGCATGCAAATCAATTTTCATTCCCTGCGACTCAATTTTCTAATACACTACAAAAATTTGGCCTTTTAGCGACAGGTGAAATCCGTCTTTAATTTCTGAAAAACCGTCACTGGACATAGCTAGCTACGGATATATCGACAGAATCACTCCATTGGTAAAAACCTTGTCGCTAAATGGATTCAGAGACGAAAAAAAATTGTCTCTAGATTTAGCAACGGAAAAAAAATACGTCTCTAAATTAAACAATTAACGGAAAAAAAAATCCGCCACTCATATCAGCAACGGAAATAAAAAAATCTGTCTCTAAATTTAGCAACAGAAAAGAAATTCGTCGCTCATACCAGTAACGGAAAAAAAAATCCATCTCTATATTTAGAGGTAGAAAAAAATATTTCGTCTCTAAATCCCCAATCTCGGGAATCGCAATTAGTAAGAGTCGAACCTATGACCTCAAAGTCACATAGTGAAACTCTTACCAGCTATACCAAATATTATTTGTTTATATCTATGCACATAATTGATAATAAGTGAAAGAAATATTAGAGACGGAATCCGTTTCTAGTTTACATAATTCGTCTCTAAAGTAATATTTTACGTAATTCGTTTCGAGAGTAATTTAGAGACGGAATTAAAAATCCGTCGCTCATATCAGCAACGAAAAAATAATAATAATAATAATAATAATATCGTCTCTAGTTTAGCAACGGAAAAAAAAATCCGTTTCTAATTTAGCAACGACGAAAAAAAAAAGTCATTTCTTATTTAGAGACAGATTTTCAATTCCAATTCTAATTTAGAGACAGATTTTTTTAATTCCGTCTCTAATTTAGAAATGGATTGAATTCCGTCACTAGAATTCCGTTTTTATATCGACATTTTTTTTGTAGTGATATTTATTTTGGGGTTGTTTGGTTGAATTTCTTGGAATGGGTTGGAATGGATTTAGAATCCATTCCATGGCTTTATTTGTTTGGTTGGGCTATTTGAGTATGGAATCTCATACCTGGGGGATTCTAACTCCACCCCATTTCCTTGGAATCTCATACCCACCTCCCCCCCAAGGATTCATAATCCATACTACCACTCAAATACAAGAATCCATTCTATGATTAAACTAAACAACTTTAGATTGGTATGGGATATAGAATCCATACAACTCAAGTATGAGAATCCATTCCATCTTAGTGAACCAAATGACCCCTTAATGTTTATGTTGTTGACTGGTTGTTGGCGGTAGCTAGAGGGCTTCTGCTTTCCTAGGAGGGAGGTTATAGGAATGTCCATCGAACAGTGGACTCGGAAGCTGAGGTGAACTTGTTGAAGGATGAAGTTCCCCTCAACTCTCCGTCAATTCATATAATCCGAAGATGCAAGGCCCTTATTCTTGAAAGGGAGTGGGAAATTGTCATCGGTCACTGTTTTATGGAAGCCAACCGTGCCGCAGACGGGCTTGCTAATTATGGTGTTACTTTGGAGCAAAAGCTTGTTCTCCTTAAAGCGGTCTCGCGGGATCTTCAACCGTTTTATTGGAGGACTTGAGTGGCTTAGCGTTGCCTCATATGTTGGCAGAGAGTAGTAAAGCACTAGGACTTATTCTTGATGCTAGTAGTTGTTTTTTCCTAGTTTCGTAGCTTTGTTTTGTTTTTGTTTCTTTTTTTTTCTTGCTTTCCAAATTCGTGTGTTAGTTTTGTTCTTTCTTTGGGGCTTGCCCCTCTCTTGCACCCAAAAAAAAATATGTACGAATTATATTGCCTTTTTTGTCAGGAATTTGGAGTTGCACATGAACTATTTTTCACTTTGATGTGTGTATAAATGTGGATATTGTTACTTGGTTCATTTATGTTGGGAAAATGACATTATGAGAGATTTCGATTTTTTTAAAACAAATTGCTGATTATTTGTATAAATCAGAGTTCATTTAGGAGATATTATCTGTAGTATTGATGTGAAATTGAGATTTTATTCTTGGGATTGCTCTAATTTTTTAGAGTAAGAAAGAGAATCTCAGCCAATGCATTACTTTTGGATCAATTCAATATACATTTGATTTTGGGATATTGATTAGTTTATTTGGGCAATTTACTTATCTACATAAAATGAGTGAAAAAGTCCAACCTTTACTTCTTCTTTCACTTCCTTTTCCTATAACCAACACCATTTTTCATTTTTTTTAACAAAAAAATTAGTAAGTAATCTGCCCAACCTCCTCTTCTTCCTTCCTCCTTTAATTTCCTTTTCTTACTAAAAAATATTTTGGGAAATTCTCTTTGGTAACACTGTATTTTTAAGTTTTCTCAGTGGTAAATTGCAAAAAAAAATTATTATCTCTGGTAAACTCGAATTTTTTATAGTAAGATAACTATAACATTATAAAAGGAATGGTGTCCTTCGAACAAGTGTATTATTCCGATAGAGGGCTCAAAATTAATTAGGAAAGCTAATTATTCAGTGAGGTCAAGTGATCAGAATGCCTAGCCGGAGGCCGCTTCCGATCAGTATTATTAATGTATAATTCATAGTACAGCTTAGTCTTGCTGAACCCTTCGAGTCACACTCAATCGTGTAACCGAACCGAAGCGACGAATTAATTCGAAGGATTAAATAAGTCGATAGAGATTTTACGAACTAAGACGTAGGATTCCGAGCTTAGAGCACCGAAGTCGAACGTCAAGCGTCGAGTCATTTTAATGAATCGACGAGATGGCAAAATAATCAAGCAACACGATTTAAAGCCAAAACCCCAAAGCCGTAGTGATAGAGGGTCTAAACACGTCGTTAAATGCTTAAAACCTTATCAACAAAAATTATAAACATTCGACCAATCCTAAACAAAGTATAGGGTAAGTCAAGGGTCGAACCATGAGGAATGGGAGAAAGGTTACTATAGCCTAAGGTCAAGCTATTTCAAAGAACTTGAAGGATGTTGAGTATGACTAACTAAGGTATCAAACAACTAGACTAAAAAGAGGAATTCAATATCAAAAGCACTAGGGATTAGGATCCACATACAATCATGTTGGTTATGCCAATTGAAGGAAAATCAATCAACCAAATGTTGCAAAGGAAAATAGTAATTGCAATCAAGAGAATTCAATAGGTTATCTCCTAGAATTCAAACTAGGTTTCCTCTATGAATGACTAGCAAGAAGAATCACAAATCAAATTCAATCGATAAATGTAATCCCTAAATCAATGGTTCGTGTCATTAGAGATCACAATGCAATCTAGCTTGAAAATCAAGGTTAGCTACTCCTTAACAATTCAAACACATGCACAATTCTATCAACCAATATAATCACATCATTCAATCAATCAAAAATCAACAATTAGCAATGATCCATCATTCATGCATGTTTCACCATCACCCTAGCAAGGAGTCTACTCACTAAGCATGGTGGCAATGATGAACAAAACTAAACTAATCATCAAAATCATCATCATCATCATTACAACCAAACTATTAAGAATCAAATCAATCAATAAACTTGAAAATGCAACAAATGATCAAAATCAAATGCAAAAGATTGAATTAAGAAGGAGAATATTCTTACAACTTTAATCAAATCAAAGAAATTGAGCTTGCATTCAAAGTAGAAGGAAATCAAATGTAAAAATCATCCAATTCTCTCAAGTTTTTCTCTTTAAAATCTAAGAACTTTCTCTCTCTAGCCTCTCTAATCAAATAAATGCATAATTCTCTCCCTAGAATAACTAAGGGGAAATAAAGTGGACGTCCAAAAGAAACCCGTACAGGCGCGCCCTCACTCCATAATGCGCGGCCGCGAAGAAAAG